GCATTTGGTGATATTACTTCAAGCCTTTCACAATTGCTCAAATCTAGAAGTAGCAGACGAGTCAATTTTCCTATTTCCCTTGGCAAACGAACAATATTAGAACTAATTAAGCTGAGAACTTTCAACTTCTTTAGCTCTCCAACTATAGATATATCTTCCAAAACACAATGATCCAAACACAGCGTTTGAAGGTTCTCAAGAAATTGAAGTGACGAAGGCAGTGGTGAAAGATTAACTTCTGTGAGATCCAAGACTTTAAGCTCCTTCATTTCTCTGAAAAAGTAGTCTGGTATTTGCAGTGAGGGATCCTTGTTCAGCAGTATAAACGACCTGAGATTTGGACATTCTAATATTGCAGGAAGATCAGGAATTTTCCGGTAAGGCGAAGAGATTCCAGTGTACTGTTGAAGCCCATCATCGGTTGGCCATTCTTTGAGTTCATCTGGCACAACAAGCACCTGGTGTTCCCTTGATGCTAAAGAGCTGACAAAACTTTGAACTACATCATGCATTTTCACTCTTCCATCCCTGTCACCTTCTAGCAACAAACAAGAGGCTTTAAGTTCATCCACCAATGTACGCAGTCTGTTTCTTGCTTCTTCCAATTTGGAACGTCCCTTGAACAAATCCAAGCCTATAGCATACTTTAACAAGTCTGAGATTGAAGAATCATAAGTTAGGAATTGCCCACAAAGCAAGAACAATGACTTGATTTCATCACCTCTCAAAGCTTTGTAACTCAGTTCCAGACACGAGTAAACTGGATCGACAATTTCATCTTTATCAAACCTTGTTAGCTGTTTCAAGGCGTCCTTCCAAGCATATACGTCTTCATTTTTCAGTGCCCTAGCAACAGCAGCAAGTAAAATCGGCAAGCCTGCACATCTTTTGGCTACTTCAGCAGCAACAGGTTGTACACTAGGATTTTTAACAGTAACTCCCACTGTCTTTTCGAACAAATCCCACGCTTCGCTTTCAGGCAAAACTTCAAGCTTGAAATATTTGTTTGCACCCATCTCGCGGGACAGCACATTTTTATTTCTTGAAGTCATGACTATCTTGCATCCTTCATGATCGCTCCCTGAAGGGATTCCGACATCCTCCAATTTAAGTTCTTTCCAAATATCATCAAGAATTACAAGTACTCTAGTCACTCTCTTCAATCTCTCGCACAGTTGAACTGCCCTTCCTTTATCAGTCTCTGCATTCAATTTGAGTCCTAGTCCATCTGCTATTTCACCTTGAATTCTTCTGATGTCTGGAGTCTGTGATACAACTGCCAGAACCACCTTATCGAACAGCCTATCCTCCTTGACTTGTTCAGCAACCTTCTTGACAAGTGTGGTCTTCCCCACACCAGGCATCCCATATACCCCAACCATGTTGTTACCATCCTTCAATGCACCCACAATATCATTTAATACTGACTCTCTTGATTCAAAGGCCTCATAATCCTTCACAGGCCCTATACCCGATGGATCAGCACAGTAAGAAACTCCATCAAATTTCCCTTTTTCCTGGAGATCAACAATAACCGTCAACTTCTCCTTCGCTGCTTTACCCAACCGATAACGTATCTTTAGATCAGGACACAAACCCATGAAGCACTTCTTACTTGATCCATCTCCAACAACACCACCTCCCCCTTCAATGACCCCATCAACACTTCTCAGCCAGTTCTCAACATCAACTTCAATCTCTTCCCCATTCCTTCTAGCCTCCTCTATAGAATGAATAACCCTTGTTTTTGCATCTGTCAGCTTCTCAACTTCATTTTTTAAGTTCTGAATATTGGTATTACAATCAATTACATAACCAATCTGTCTCTTAATGGGAACAACTAACAGCTCAGCAACTTTGGCTACAACAGAAATCACAATTTCCATGTCCAATGAAACTTAAATCTTCTTCTTGTCTGGAATCAAGCAATCAAGGAACTGCAATGAACAAATTAAATCAAAAGGAAACTTTTCAAATCTTCAGGGACTAAATCAGAAATGAACAGCAAAAGGATTTCTTTGTTGCAATTCAACTAACATTAATAAAGCAAAAACAACACAAATAATAAACAAGCAGCAAAGCAGAGGCTTTTCAAAAGCATAA